ACTACTACGACGACGACGACGACAGGCTCGTAGCATAGGCGGAAACGTATCCACGAGTCTACCTCTGTTGCCGCCCAGGTCTCGGATCTCACGAAAGGAGCCGCCAGTTGGGGAGGGCCGCCATCGCCCAGCGAGGTTGTAGCTGCCCTGCCCCTGAATCTTGATTTAGGTCAGGGATGTGGCCGGCAACATATCTGAGGGTTCGAGGGCCTCCAACTGCAGTTTGGACCGTCCAACAGAAGCAAAAAACGAGGGTTTCAGAATTTATGTTTGGGCTTTGGATCGCAACTTGAGGACAGGCGAGTATGTCTATAAGCTGTCCACTTGCGCAAAAACGGGAAATCCAGCAACATCTTCACCTTCTCCAGCGCCCAGACTTCGCAGTTGGAGGGGTTCCAGACTTGCTCGAACTCCTGTGGGGATGGGGTCCGAAGCATGAGGGTCGCAGCCGAGGATGTCGGGTGTGTGATTCTGACCGGCATCGTTGCCACTTTGCTGATGCTTCGCCTACTGTATTCGTTGCAAACGACTGACATGTCATGTTTCTGAGGCATGCCACGTCTCGGCCGATGCAGCAGACGTCAGATGTGGCTTCCCGGTGTTTGTGTGTTAGAACTTCCTCTGCTCAAACTTCGTGCCTTGAAATTAACCTTTGCGTGGTGAGACATAGTTGCAAATCGGTGGGATCAATATTGCTACGTGCGCTGCACTCCAAAACACATCGATTTATGGAAGCTTTCTTGCTCAATTCGCATCGTCTGTGAGGCTTGGCGTGTCTGAGGATCCATGAACAGAGCGGGTGAACGCCCCACAACATCTCTGAAGCAACCCGTACAGTATGTCAGAAACCCGAGAAAGTCATAAGCGTTAATCAGAAAGTGCGGAGATTGAGCCGGAACTCACCCCGACCAGTCCTCTACGGTCCAGTGGAAGTAGACCATGCAGAAGATTCGCATCAGGAGACCGTGAGACACGAGGACTAAATTCTCCACAGGGTTGGCATCCTGGCATCCACATTCCGCCCTCCAACGTCGATGCACTGAACAGAGACCTACCTTAGGCCTGAAGGTGTACTGTAGGGCTGAAGGGTCACAGCTGATGTGTTTGTTTGTCTTCTTTTTTTTGAGGGGGGGGGGGGGNNGGGCAGTTTTTTCTGCAAGATAATACTGACAAGCACACTCCTGGCCCGAAGAACGGCTATGAACATTGCCACATGCTGAGAAACAAGATGCATCTCAGCACAGAAAGCCCCTGCAAAAGCACTATGCTCACCATGTGTCACAATCCTTACATACGTATCAGTTGTACGTGGCGACTTTCAGCTGAAGGGCCATAGAGCGCAGGAGGCTTGACCAGAAGTCGCTGACGCGATCGAAAACATCAGTGCCCGCTTCACCTGATGGCATGGCATGATCCCAGAAGTCGGAGCGAAAGAAGTGTTGCTCCAGGAATGAGTTCAATTTGATGTCTGGACGAGACCATTGGGCGAGAAAGCGAAACTAAAAGGGTACTTCTAACGTCGGCAGGGGCTCGGGCAGTAGATGTGTGGGTTGTGCACATGAGCCACAGATCCAAACTCCGAGCCCGAACACCAAACCCTGAACCCCGCGGCATGCCAATCTTTAGCCGGAACTGCCCCATTCTTTGGAACTCAACCCTTGCATGACACATATTTGCTTCACCAAAGTCACCAGCAGAACATGGTCTAGAGAAAATGCCTCAAATCTATATAGTAAGGCTGCTTTTCAGACCGCTTGTTCTGAACCTTCCAACTCAGCAACTTGAAAGCCGCCGTCGCAAAGCATGCATTCGAATCTCTTTTCAGCCGTGGCCAGCTTTCAGGATCTAGGATTTTGGTGTGTCAGGTGTATCAAACTTCTCGCTCAAATGCTGCTCCAGGTGGCAAGCCACCCGGACACCCTTGTCTTCTCCATGCCACGACACCGTTCGGGAAGCGATAATAGAAGCGGCCGAACTTCTGCCGCTCCTTGTACACCTTCGTCTCGAGACACAACTTTAAGGCCCTATAGGGCCACTACTATAGGGGGGCCCCAAGGCTCCTAAAGCCCTGGCACTAGGGCCTTCATACAGAAGCTTCTTGGCCTTGGATGTCTTTAAGGCTCAGAAACTGAGCAAGCCTCCATGCTCTAAGGTGGTGATATACCCTAACGGAGCCTCTGACATCTGCTGGACATCTTGGAAGTTGCCGAAGTCCTGTCTGCTGCAACTTGGGCTTGGGGGCTTGGGGCAGCATCTGTCACGGTGGTAGTGCATACTCGTCGCAGAGGCGGCACTTATCGGGTGTGCTTGATGTTGAAGACATAAAATTAACACTAGCTTCAGAAACATAATTTAGCCTAGGAGTACAGTGAAAAGGTTCCTAACTGATTGTCCAGCACAGGAAGGCCAAAATGGAGTGAATCGAAACCTGATGAACCATGAGCAGAGGGACCCTGACTGATGTATGCCAGCTCGGCTTCTACAGAATATATAACAGCTTGCGTGGTCTTGCCTGAGCCCGCCTTTAGCTCCCACGGATGCTACAATCTCGAGGCTTCCCGTAACCTTAGACTTGGGTTCGTCGTGAGTGATTCGGAGCTCCACGAGTGCGTTCATTGCGCCGTCTCTCTAGCGATCTGGAAGTGTATATGTGTGTGTGTGTATACACACACACACACATATATATATATATGTGTGTGTGTGTGACGATGCAGATACACTGCACCAGAGTTACCGTATAACGGCAAGATGCGAGCTTTTTTGATTCGGCGTGGCCTCGAGTCTACTCCAACAGGTGGTCAGCGAGTCTGGTTGGGTCTAAGTCCCGTCCCGTCGGGGTCAAACAGCGAGCTCTTGGATCAGCTGGCATCACGATCCTGGACATTGTCCAACATGTGGTGCCCGAAGCAGCCGGAGCGGCGTGGGCCGACGATTACTAAACTCTCAAAGCAGCCAGGCACTCTAGTGCTCAACATGGCTTCAGAAGCTTCAGATTTCTCGGAGCCCTGCCACCCCAGCACTGTCCACTGAAAGGCCGTGTCCCGTTGGCGCTCACTCCTCCTTGGCCTCTTCCTCCTTGTTTCGGGAGCTGAGGCTGTGAGGTTCTGGGTCTGGGGATCTTTCTGAAGCTCGGAGGGAAGGCTTCAGGCCTGTCATCCTCCAGGAATGGAAAGCATCAGGGCGCAGGGATTGTCGCTTGGGGGCTTCTTGCCTTCTCAAAGGGAGCCCCCTGCTCTGCAACAGCCAACACTAGCGGGATGGAAATTGCGTTTTAAACTCCACCTCGGCCACTTCGTCCGGTTTCCTCTTTCGGTGCACTCTTTGTAGTTTGCTTTCAGTCTCGCTGGGGAATCGGACACAGAAGGCTGAAGCCCTAAACTTCAGAGAAGACCAGCAATTTGGAGGCATGAAAGACTACCGGAAAACTTGGCAGATTGTACTCAGGCCACAGAAACCACACACGAAACAATGACGAACAAGCATGAATCGAACCCATGAAAACAAACACTAATAATTCGAAATGCGTCGGCACCTGCATGCCTTCTCAGAAACCTATAAAACCTACCCCAACGACCCTAGCAAGCTATTGGGGCGGCCTCAACAATCAGAATAGTGCTTGGTCGTATGCGATACACCAAGGACACCTTGCATACGGCACGGTGCTGACAATGATGCAGACCCCTACAGTAAACCTCCTATCATAGCTGAAGCCCTTTGCAAGCTTAGTTCAACTTAAACGCTCTTGATTCAAATACCCTCTCTTATTCACTACAAGCACCCTATTCAATTTAGAGATTCACACGTGAAATCGGAGTTTCAGGCCTTGGCCTCTTCCTTGGCCTCCTCAGCGGTTTCCTCCTCCTGCTTTGGGGCTCTTGGGAATTAGGGAACTTGCTGGGTTTATGAGTTTCCAGAATTTGGGTCCCGGAGGTGTTAGGGTTCTTCTTTGGCTTTTAAGCCCCTTTTCGTACCTCCAGCAAGCCGTCAGTTCGGGCGCTACTGTAGGGTACTGCTTTTTTTCGTTCGCCCCTTTTCCTTTAGCAATAGGTTCTTGCCGTCAGAATGCCTAGCAGGCGGAGGCAGTTGGTTGAGGAACCTGTTTGACGGGATTCACCACCCCCACCGACGGTTCCTCAAGCCAATATACTGTTGAAAGCCGGAGCCCTTCGCCTCTTCGGAACGGGGAGGTTGCGACGAGACAAGCAGCCCTCAAGCGAAAGTATCGACCCCATCACTGGTACCGAAGCAGCCACAGCACAGAAGATACGGCGCTGTAAGTGTGAGGGGGTTCAGGGCTTGGGGTTTAAGGATCATGTCGAGCTTCGTGGAAACCTCCGATCTTTTTCCCACCCAGCCAGGGCTTTTGGGGCTGAAGGGAATCGGATGCAGATGCATGGGGCGAATATGGTCTTCGGGGTGTGGAGAACCCGAACCATGAACCAAGCGCAAGCAACGGACTCATGGCTTGCGATGGCCCATCTCGAAAGAACGAAATTATGCTGGACCAGTACGCAGATGATCAGCCGCAGATGGCCTTCTAGTGGGGAATCCTTGTACTCGAGACACGCAGTAGTGTCACTAACAGCCGCGAAGCATAAACTCATACTCATGACCCCCTGAAGTTGAGGACGGCGGCTACGTCGAAATATCCTCATATATCCGTATTCATTGAGGCACTTATCTATTTACTCGTTCATTGGTTCAAAACCCAGCAGTAAGCTGGTCCGTTCGAAATTGACTTCATAAAGTAACCTCTGAACCGCTGAGTAAATGGAGGCCTTACAGATTGGAACAGGGTCTTTGGGAATATCATGTTATGGTCATAGTGGGACCAAGTGGGTAGATCTATCAACTGATTCGTAGTATTCCGACCCCTATATTTCCCCTAAACCGTAAACCCTATAATTCCCCTAAAACCTACATAAACCCTATATTTCCCTTAAACCCTAAACCCTATGTTTCCCCTAAAGCTTTGAAGAGCTGCCCTGGTCCCCCCTCTCGAGTCGTCCTTCTCCTCGGCCTCTCGCGCTGCCTTCGCAGCTCACCACAAGTTTTGAGGAGGGACCTAATGATTAGGATGGATTGAAACTGGACTTTGGGATATAGTATAGCTAGTAGAACTATAGGGAGACTAGAAGGAGATACTTAAGGCATTTATATTAGGTCTGCACAGTTGCCATATGCTTGCTCCGTCTCTCCGACTCCGACACACACCCACACGCACCTTCGCACCCACCAACGAAGACGACTGGCGCAAAGGTCAACGGTGGAGCAAGATAGATAGGCAGTAAACTTCGCGAATCGTGAAAGAGACATTGGTAGAGGTGCAGATATACAGAGAGAACATGCGTAGATGCGCTGACTAGACCACTGAAGATGTCTCTGAGACGTAACGGTGAGACTGTTGTTTTCCCTGGAATGGAAAATCATGCAGGTAGATCCCCGTATCTGGTCAAAAGAGGACGGCTCAAGAGTGCATGTCCGTAGTGCAACATAGCATCAGCACTGTTTTGCAACCTCTGCAAATACTAGATGAAGCAATACATAAACACGCGTGTGTATATGTATGTATGTATGTATGTATGTATATACATATATACACACTTACTAGATTACTAGGTCCCCCCCCGTCGGTGAACTAAAACCCTTCACGTCGAATCCCGCCACTAACCACTCAGTGGCCTTGTTCTCCGCGATCTCGTTAAGGCCCTCGAGGATGGCTTTCTTCATGTCCTGTCGCAGCAGGTTTGCTTTCGTCCGCATTCTTGCGCTAGGGCCGCCAGGGGGGGGGCTCCTCGCGCTTCTCCTCCCACTCCTTCACCTTGCCCTGGAATTCTCCCAGCTGCCTGAGCTGCAGGTTCCACGCGCCTGTTGACCCAGTGGATGCGAACCGGCCCAACAACCGAAGCGCAAGAGCAGATGGAGACGGAAGCTCTGCGGCCTTCGGAAACCCCGAACTCTACAAAGCGAATCATTGGGCCCAAGCCTTGAAAATGTTTCCACTCCGAAATGCGAGCTTTGGCCAAGGTGCTTCTCAAGCTCTTCCAGAAGGGCAGGCACCTGACACACCGCGAAGTAGCAAGTAATTACTCAAGCTAACCCATTGCTACCCAGAATGCACTGGCAGTTAGCAGAGAAACGGGTGAAGCCCCAGACACGAGTGAGCACTTGCAAGACCATGGAAATTGTAGGACCAAGGGGCAAGCGAGAGACAGAGAGAGAGGGAGGGAGCGGGAGATGAAAACAAAGGCCTGTTCCGTGGAGAGCGGTGCATCGAGCTTCAGCTGGTCGAAAAGACCTCAGAAGCTCGCCACGCAAGGCACAGGTATGCAGAAGTGTGAATCCTCAGGGGGCGTAAGGCATAGCGCTACGAGATAAGAACATGCAATTGAACGTTGATCTTCTGGCAAAACTGCAGAACATGATGATGCCTGTATGTTACTGCTTGCTGACAAAATACCGGCTTATCACATGCATCGGGTCCGTTGAGATAGCAAAACAGACCTGTGTATGCATGTCATACGAAACACTCATGCATTCCCGCAACCTCGGGGCAGAATGTTGAAGTTGCGGTTACGACGGAACACCATTGCCTGGCTTGTGCCCGGCAGTGCTTTGGCAGCCCATCTCGGACTTCTCTGTGTGTCAGTTTTGACACTCTCACTCGGGAATATCAGGGGAGGTTCAAGATCTAAGGATCAAAGAAACCGGTTCACCACGATTGACCCGATGCTGGCACCACGACAGAACTGATGGTGCAAAAGCGGTGCGGAAGGTTTCCGCATTGTGCGTGATCTTCGTGGGCTTCGCCTCGCCGCCTGGACTGTCGAAATGTTACACATTCTTGACTCGCTGGATGCCTATAGAAGAACTCCCCGGCCTTTGTTCTTGTTCTTGCCCTTCTTGCCAGCCTTTGTAGGGGCGAAGTAAAACTCCTCGTCTCGATCTTCCTGGCACGTGCACCCTGCATAAAGCAGAGACAGCGCTCATGTCGGCGACATAATGCTTGTGCTGTGACGAATTACGGCAGAGCTTCAATACTAGATGGCTGCATCTCTGCAAGCGTGTTGCAGCGTGCTTCTGAAGTTCATGCAGGAACAGACTATTGACTGCAAGAGGGTTTGCAATGGCCGCAAGAGGTCAACGACTGCCTACCCGGGCACGTAGTTCGTGAAAGGTTCGAGACGGCTTCGAGTGCTGCAGAGGCAGAACTACAAAAGAAGCGTCACCAGGCCTTGCGGAGGAGGATCTCGGCACCGTCCGGGTTGTTGTACTCAACCTGAACACATGCCGTGGGCTCCCCTCGCCCCAAGTACAGCTGCAGTCGCAAACTTGGAAGATGCGCATCCAACAAACAGCACCCCATGGAAGATTCGGGCTTGCGGATTGGTTGCGTTATGGACAGGGTTTAAGAAAGCATGGTCCAGCCGAAACCGGAAGATGGACTTAGCCAGAGCGAAAACTGGAATATGCAGTTGCCGCATCAACCGTTCCAGCTGCTGCCATCCAACTTGCCCGTTGCTACCATAAATTTAAAGCCTGTTGTAGACAAACGGTACTAGCGCAGTAAGGAGTGATCTAGAAGCGCCAAACCCATCGAGTGCTTGGGCACAGGATTCCTACAGTAAGTGAGACCGCAAGTCTGGAGCACGAAGAGGTCACAGAAAAAGGGGTACGACATTGGGAATGCGAGCCCCGGCTCTCTCTGACTATTCGAGCGATCCAAGATACTTTGACGGTTACTTAGCATCCTAACCGGTACCCGTACCGGCCAAGGAATGGAAGGTGATGGCTGAAAACAGTACACGTGAGCTGCCATAAATCGCCTCCTTCTTCTCGTCCTTCTTCTCTTCGGTCTTGGACTGCACGAGGCCCTTGCAATACTTGATCGTCCTCAGCACCCGTGCAAGGGTTTGGAGGCATGAGCGGCTTCCCGAATCCCTGATAGGCTGAAGAAGCATTTATCCGTTTCCATGATGTTTTTGTGTTACAAGTATACCAACTATCTTGCACAAGATTGGGCTCCAGAAAAGTCAGTATCACCGTCGCGGTAGACCCTGACAAATCATTGTGGTGCAGGACATGCGCGGTCACGCATGGACATAATTGATGGACATAATTAACGGATTAACGGAGTTTTGGCATCCCGCATGGCAAGGACGAGGCCGCATGGCAGCGGAGCTAAGAAAGAGCGTTATTGAGTAAGCTTTAGGCTTAAGCGCCCAGGCAGCCAGACTTTCCCACGCCTCGGCCTCAGATCCACCCTGGCCCAGGTTTCCCATGCTCTGACGTCGTGTCATAAGATCGAATTCGAAGCTTTCTGAACCAAGGATCCCGTACAGGTAGGCTCTACTAGCTTCGCGTCTATATTAGGGGCCTGGATTTCCGATATTCCCAGAAAGCCCGGCCCAATCCAACAAGAGCAGAGCGACTGCTCGATCAAGGTAATCTCCGCGACATACGGCCTTTGTCGGGTCGCAGGGGAATGTCTAGGCTTGTTGCAAGGGGATTGCTCCCGGCTCCTGCTTTCAAGGAGCTAAACATGTACAGCCATGGCACTTTGGTCTTTTGAACATTGATTGCAGCAACAACAAAGAGTTACCAGCAGACTCGGAATGACCTGATCGATATCACCACGAGAGGTGATGCTTAATAATGTGTCCTTAGAAATTGTTTTCTGAACTGGCGAAAGCAGCAAAGGCAGCTCAAATAAGACAAGAAACATCAACAATGACATGACGGTTGAGACGAGGCTTGGTGGACGAGGGTTCATAAAGCAATATGTGGGGCGCGGCGAGAGCAGCATAAACCTATAATCGTAACAAACACATATGAGTACTTCACTAGAACCCCAAACAACAACACTGCAAAAGCATCAGGGCAGCGACAACCAGTGACGGCACCCGCAGCGGCGACAGTGAAAGGAATCCTGACTAATGACTAGTGACTAGTAACTAGAACCAGCACCAGCAACCACAAAAAAAAAACTACAATTAGCAACAGCCGCAGCAGCAGCAACAACAACAACAACAACACCAACACAACAAAAAAAGCAGAGGCAGCGGGATCCGTAGTCACAACAACGTCTGCGAAGACACGATCACCACAAAAAAAAAAAAACAAGACACTTGATACACTAACTGACAAACAAACCCAACAGCCGAAAACAGCGGCCGCTCACCCCTCAAGTTTTGACTTTATAAAGATTATAATTGCTACTACTGTCATTATCACTAGAGTACTATTACTTTCATTTTTACAGGTATATACTGGTATTATTATTACTATTGCTATTACCATTCTGAGCCGAGCCATAAACGTCGCTGTTTACAGCACCGAATATCAGACAGAGCTGCTGCTCATCGAGCTTCTCGGCTTCGCGTTGCTTGCGGCGCAGGTCGTACTCCTCGACGGCGATAGGGATGCAAAACACGGTACTTATTCAGTACTGGAATCTGGGGTTCAGGGATTTGGCTGCGGCTTAGTGCGGGCTTGATGTGCGCAGGGCTGTGAATGGCAGGGGTCGGAGCCTCCCCTCACAAGGGCACTCAAGGGCACTCTTGTGGGCATGAGAATGTTTGCCCGCGGATTGTGTGCATGAGGATGACCTTGCATGAACTGCGTGCCCCCTTCCCAAATACTGCCATTTGGCCACCTCACTTCAGGACGTCCTTTGATCTGTGGGATAAGACGACAAATCCAACAACCCTGGAAAGCTGCTCGGCCTTCTGCTTCTCCGCTTTCTCAGCAGCATAGCGCTCCTGGAAATGTTGAACGGGCTTAGGGCTCCAGAGACGAACCAAACAACAACCGATTTATGATTGATTATCAGTCAACTAGGAGGATCTGGAGTACTGGCATCGCCTTGACGATGATTCGTTTGCTGTTCTGGCATCCTTGTCAGCAGTGCAGCACTCGAACACGAAAGGTTCAGTAGGGCCGCATGATGATCCAATGCCTTGTTCTGGTGAGAACAGGAATGATTGCAGCTGGCAGGCGGGCAGTGGAGCTCAAAGACCCTTCACTTCGGCTGCGATCATTGCAGACCTGTCCTACTCTTCCTTGTGGAAACATACAAGCCTTACGAGCCAGAACAGCCGGTGACCCGACAGGTCCTGGCGAGCTTTGCGGAGTTCCTGCTGGTAGGCCCAGTACTCACGCTCCTGCCAGGCGGCGTCGATAACAAAAGCTCAGGGCTCTTGGTGAGGAGGGGGAGCATCACCGGCTGCAGATTAAGATGATCGTGGCTCTAGAGTTGTTTTCAATCGCACTTTGAGCTCCACACGCCAACCACGGGCAGGTGATGCGAGAAGTTCTGCTACACTGCGAAGCTACAGGGCTCTGGGGTCGATAGAAGTGTGCATCGCGGCAGGGCCTCTCTGAATCAGATGGCACATTGCTCCTAACAACAATGCTAGTTGATAGTACTGCGTCTATACAGGAAGTAGTGATGGCAACAGCACGGAGGTCTTGCAACAGGAGAAAGGAGCTATGGCCAGTCTCGATCTCCTTATATGATCGCATGATAGTGAAGACCACAATTATTGCATCAACGCCTGTAGGGCCTGTATCTATCTAGAGGTCCAGGTTGTGCATGTGCAGTAAAGTATAGTTGTGCACTGGCCTGCTGGCGGTACTCGTCACGCAGCGCATTACGCTCCTGCAAGCCGTGGCTTGGCACTTCGATTCATTTCTCTGGGCGCTTGCATCGCTAGTTTGCGCTGCCTTGAACCCTCTGACAACGTGAAGCCGGATTCTTGGCTTTCCTGCACCTCTCCACCTTCTCGAAGCCGAGGCTTCGATATTCACATTCCCTAACCACGAAGCATCTCACTGGCAGCACTGCATTCTGGCATGCCTGTGTGGGTGAAGAAACTGGAGCAAGTTAGCTTTTCAGGTTGATACACAGGAAGGCGGGAGGCTTCAACCAAAACTTGATGCCCTGAAAGGCACCCTACAGAGATGCGTTCAACCTCAGAACGTCCTCGATCTTTGCCCTCAACTTCTCGCCGATAGCATTGCGCTCGTTCTGAATCTCCTGGCAAAGAGTGGCTACAAAAATAGATACCAAGGCCTTGATCAACATCTACTGGCATGGCCATCACCTCACATGCCGCCGCAAGTCGCACGCATATATTTCCGAGGCGCTGAAACGGAATGCTCTTCTTAACTTCTGATAGCAAACTCGTCCTTAGCCTAAGCCTCATGGACCCGCCGAATGAGTCCTCGATAGGTCCCAGTTGGGTCTTCCTGGCCTCAGACAGCTCGGTCATCTGGTCCTGTCGGGACAAAAACCCTCTCCACGTCCATCGGCGGATCTACGACTTCTCCGACAAGCCTAGTGCTACTGCAACTCAGCATGGTGAGAGCTGGCAGTGGCATAGCTCAGGAAGACCTCTCCCTTGCGCCAAAGAACTGGTATCACGAGTAACCGAGTAACCATGAACGACCAAGCCCCACACCAAACGTGGTGGTGGGCCCGACAGACGGCCTGAATCTTCTTCTTCTCGTCACGGAACTGGGCGATATCGGCGTTAATGGCGTCCTTCTGCTCCTGAGCAGACTTGCTGATTACCATCAACAGCCCTGAAGATGTCCACAATGCCAGGCACCTTCATGGACATTCCGGGGTCGAAATTCGCCAGGTTCTGCTCCATGGTGTTCATGGTGTCTACCTCCAATTTCTGCTTTCGCCGCTGGCTCTGAGCTTGGAGGTCGGGGGCCCGTGGGGTTAGGTTCTTGTCTGGAGTCGAAGTGGGCCTTAGCTGGGATGCTGTTAGCTGTGGGCTTTTGCTGGGGCGGTCTACGCGAAATCATAAAAAAACGCATCTGATCTGATGTGGTCTTATACCGTCTGCTCGGGCCAGTTTACCATTGGAGCAAGGCATTGGGGCATGCTACACTTGTTGGAATCTATACAAGCATCTCAGAAGGGACAAACTCCCGAGGTCACCCCAAAAGGCTTGCACGCTTCATGCCCGGCAAAAGGATGCTGAAGCCCCGGCCACGCAACGAAGAGCAACGTCCCAGAGCTGAACTCTGGAATCCGGGAATCCAAGCCCCAAACCCTAAACCCCTAAAAGCCTTATCCCTAGCCCTGAAGCTCCAGGGAAGCGCTGCGGAGCCTTGGAGCGGTTCTTCTTCCTGAAGGAAAGGCTCCAAAACTGAGGACTGTGGAAGCTGGTAGCTGCTCTGGATGAAGGAGTGTGGGATGATGTCGGGCTGCACACCCTTCGGATGGACAAGAATGCACATGTGTGGATGCAGAAGCCGATGCGGCAATTCTTTTAGCGGCAACAAAATCACAATTTCACTCGCCCAAGTTGTACAGCGTGGCAAGACCGCTAGTGCGGAAGCTATTGCGAGGTATTTGTACATGTCATCTCCGCCACTGTGTCAATCACCACGATGTCACCATCAGCAGCAGCAGCAGCAATGACAATGCCCAACACCACTGTGTGCTGTCCTTTTGTTATTGGTGTCCAGTGTAGCTGGATCTGGCAAAGCCGTACTGAGTACCCAGCAACCCACCACCAACCAAATAAAATGCTGCTAGGGACGTGCATACGCACGCCAGGTTAGTGGCTCTATACTATTTGCATAGCAACAACAGCAGCCACCACAACCAGAACCACGACCCCTGCAACCATCACCACCAACCAACTTGCTGTCGCGCCCAGCAGCACCAGCACTGCATTGCAAATCACCATTCTTAGCACCCTCACCTTGCTCAGGATAATCGTTCTTCTCCTGTTACTCTAAACTCTAAACTGTGGAGTTACAGGTAGAGTACTGGTCCCAGCTGCAGGGTCTGGATCTCAGCCAAGAGCTTCTTCTCCTGCAGTCAGGGGTTGCGCAGATCTAGCATGTGCTGTTCACCTTTACTGCAGATCGGATGACGTAACATGTCGGTGTTGCAGAAGGCTCAGTATGTCGATGGTGTTGGTCTTTGTGACTCCCAGCATGAGTGAGGTTAGCCAACCCTGTGCCAGAAGGTCGAGTAGGACCGCACCAGCATCCAAGATGCTAGTTCTGTACGAAACGGTGATATGGGGTTCGAAAACTGGGAAGCACGAATAAACACCGAAAGGAATCTGAAAAGGATGCCAACCTGGCGGACGCCCCCCCTCCCGGATGATACGCACACAAAAAAAACCTGGCCTCCTTCAGTGGCACGGACTCGGTGCACAGTTGGAACTCGATCGTGGCAATGCGGTTGTTGATCTCCTCACAGACCCCCAGATTCCCTAGATGCGGGCTTCGTCGCCACCACGGGCAAACAACGAGTGACGATCAGCCTGTAACCTCGTCGCAAGCACGGCTGGGCTGCTCTCCTGCTGGCTAGTGAAGCCGACGGTCTTCTTCATGCTGTTCCTTCACGGGGGCTCAGTGCGCTCGCCGGTTTAAATGACAAGGCCACGTTGTCTCAGGTGATTCTTGCAGACACTCCAAACTCACCTTCAGCGTTGTGCTCTGCCCTTATAGAACTTTCAAAAATCCTACGCTCTGCGTGCCTCAACCCTGAGTTTCAGAAATCTGATGTCTTCATCAGCCGGGCTGCAGCTGGGAGCGCATCTCGCGACCTTCCTCTCGCTTGTTGCCCACGGCCTTGTTGATCTCGTCCTACGGAGGCAGGGCCAAACAAGAGGGCTGCACGCCCATCATAAACAACTACAACAAACTGCAGCTGCATCCGGGAACGACAAACTTCCGGAAACACTGGGGATCCTTCTTCTCCATCAGGCCGTTGATCTTGTCCGTGATAACATCCAGCTGAGCGCGCAACTCGGCCTTGCAAGTGCCAGAAGCGCGAACTCCCTCGCATCTCCAGCGATGATAATGTAAACACATGCAGCAACGACCAGTATAATGGTAAAAATAACAAGATGTATCAGGGCGAAGAGAACAAAAACAACAGCATGTTGTAGAATTGCCGCTGACACTAACAGCTAACACCAACAATGCCCAACCTTCTTGGCGTAGAACTCCTCCTTGCCGCCAGAGCGCTCCTGTGATGGCGATAATGCAGGGCATAGAATTCAGGCTCAGCACTTGCAGGTTTAGCAATTGTGCTTGGGACGCAGCGAACACATTTAAGTTTTCACATCGAAGACGCATCCTGCAAGCAGAAGCCCTGAAAGAACTCAATCACACCGCCACCCAAAGACGAGAAGGATCTCGACTCTCCGAAAGCTTCGAGCCAGGAAACATCCCTCTATGATATTGCTGTCTGACGTGGAGCCTGGAAGGAATATGGAACCCAGGACGCCACCTCTCTAGCACATGCACTAGAACTCGCAGCAACGACAACAGCCAGTAAATTTAGGGTTGAGGCGGGCAAGATGGCCAAGAGAACTCACAGACCAAGGCTTTTGCTTCGGCGCCATTTAACGGTTTAACGGTCCTGGATCTTCTCGGTGAGCTTCTTCTGCTTGTCCTAGCGGCATCGATCTGGAAACATGGAGTTGCTTTCCAGTTTCAGGCATGGAACCGCAGCCCATGGAACGTCAAGAAAAGACAAGATGTCTCAACCCAAAATCCTAACCCCTGATGCATCTATCACAAAACCCTACACTGCGAGGTGTCATGGCCATGTCCTGCAGCTTGGTTATTTCCTCTTGGATCTTCTCGGACTTGGCGTCGAACTCTTCCTGTCAGCAGACTAGAACCACTTGGTGGCCTGAAGCTCTGAACCCCGGCATCCACCTCCCCCCCCCCCTTCCATTCCCTTTCTCCGCCTTGTTGGGCTGAGGAACCTTTGGCTTGTCATCCTCCTGCTCCTCATTGCACCAGGCACCAGAGGTAGGAGGTTGAGGGGTTTGGCCGAGGGTCTAGTTTAGAGAAGTAGACGCGGCACCTTCTTCGAAGTACCTTCTTTGACTTTGTGGTACGGGGTTGGTTAGGAAACATACCAGGCCTTCGCGATGTTGAAGCATGCCCTGCCTGATGCGACTATTGAAGGTCCATCAATTCCCTGTCCCCTTTTACCTCTCTCCGTCCGTCCCTACATGTCCTTACTCTGAAGCACTTCCCGTCCTCTTTCTTCACCTTGGCCTTGGCCTTACCTTCTGCCTTCGGCTTCGGGTCTGCCTGCCATGGAGACACCACGCCCTCAGCCGGGTTTCATGGAGGATTTGCACATCCGAGTTCAAACTTCGGCCTAATCAAAGGCCAACTCGGAGAAAAACATGGTGGAGGGATATCAGGAGGGGCTGCTTGGGGCCACATACGACGTGGCAACTGTAGTAAATATAGGTCACGAGGGCAGGGAAGGCTGCAAAACACGCCTGCACATGCCTTCTGGCTCCTCACAGAATTAAATACGCTCAAACCCGCTTTTTGGGAACCGGAAGATGCCTCACTACTATCACTACTCGTGCCCATGATGAACGTGTTGCTGTGCTGTTGTTGCTACTGATACCATGACCACCGCTGATTAAGCTTCATATACGACCAAGACTACCTCCCCCACCTAAGCTACCCACTCAAATAGACATAAATGCGAGTACTCATGAACACCAGATTCACGACTACTCCTGCTGAGAAGTAGTCGCAGCAAGAGTGTCAGATTGCCAGCATAGTAAAATCCTCCACGACTAGGCCAAACACTGCCGTTTGCATCCTTGCCTCCTTGATACATGGGCCCTAATTTACACCGCTTGCGGATCTTACCACACACGGTTGCCTTGGCGGCAGCGGCCTTTGCTTTCGGTGCGGTCTTGGGAGCCATAGCCTGGGGATCCCAGGGCGAAAGTGCTCAGCTGCTCTATCTGTGTTTCGGGTTTCGAGGTTGCGGCCACTTAGGGTGTGGAGGTTTTCAGGCTTAGGGTCTGGAGGGCTTTTGGGGCAGAGGGTCGGGGCTTCGCAGCCTTTGAGGTAGTTGTGTATGTAAGAATCAAGATAGCCTTGTCGCTTCCAGTCTTCGACGATAGCAGGATTAACACACTGTGCACAGGAGCGCTTCACTCGTGATTAGGCCAATGTGAGTTCCCCTGCTTGCAGATACCCGTCGAGAGGCTCCAGGGCAAACTTCGGATGAAAGCTGCACCTCAAATCTCCGAAGGCCAGCAGCTTCAAACCTTCGAACACCCTGTCTTCAATCTCCAAAGCTTCTTCAGGTCGCGTTGCGAGGAGAGCTTTGGGACGTTGGGTAGATTTGAGGCACAGCCTACACTTGAGCCATCTTGTGCTGTCGAGAGTGGTGCGGATTGGGCTTGGTGCCGTGAAAGCCTCAGGGCGGACTGGAACTGAACGAATCTTGTCATGGCCTACCGGAAAAGCAACAAGCGACCCGCACGAATTTGGCTTCAGCATGGCCTCACGTCTACCAGGTGCGCCTAGAAGTCGTGATCTGTCCCGGCCCCGTCCACAGAGCTATGCCAACAGCATCCCTGATCCTGGACTTTGTCCAAAAAGCCGAAACCGAGACCGGCACTGCAGCCAGGGCCACTGAAAATGCCCATAGCTCGTCCGAGATTAGAGAAATTGAAACACATACTTCCGGCGTAGCAAGTAGCTACCTCTCGCTGATAGATCGTAGGCAACTTTCTTTCGAGGTCGCTCGTGGTCTGCAGGGTCGGAAGGCTCTTATTCGAGCTTGCTTCTCATGTCCTTTTTCATGGGCGGTACTTAAGCACAAAAGCAGTTGCCCTACTACTACGATAAGCCTATAAGCTTTGAAGTACTACATTACTGGAGAGCTGCATGTGAAGCCTGTTGATCAACTCCATCCGTACGACCCAAATTCTACAGGCTACAAGTACAGTAGTGTGAGCTGCGGCATCTGGACTCTGGCTGCTCCGATCTAGCTTCGAGGAGGATGCATCCAATGGCTGCTCACTCGTCCTTGGTCTCTTCCTCGGAGGTGGGTAGAGTAGTTGAGGTTTGGCTTTTGGTTGCCTTCCACACAGCAAGGACATCATTTGGGTCTTCAGGGTTTTGGGCTTACAAAAGACAGAGTTGGGCAACCAGGAATATCTATTTCGTTGCTTCGTGGAAGTCCGAGGGTTTCCTAATAATCATAGCACGACACCTACAACCAAATCGAAGGACAGCTACAACGCTACAGCTTTCGGATGGTACCAAATAAACATTCAAAAAAAAAAAACTTCGGAGTCGGGTTCCGTTTGAGGGCTGCTTCTACGCCAGCCTCCTGATCCTGGATGTTCTTGGCTGAATAGGGTTTGGGTTGGTTGTAGTAAGCTGAAAACTGACAAACCCAGGGTTTATAAGCTTGTGTCGGGCTGAAGGTCTACGGCCAGAGGAGAGCTGTAACACGGCGAAGCTTCGGCCTTTTCTTCCTCTTTGGTCTCCTCAGCGGCCTCTTCCTCCCGAGGTTGTCGGGTTGAGAAGCCCCAGAGCATGGAGTTGTTTTTGTTTGGGGGAGGTGTAGAAAGGGCCTCAGCAACTCTACAAGAAGCTAAGATGGTCCGTACACCTTGACCAAACAACCGCAGCGAACACAAGGAAGAGTAGCACAAACCATGGCACTGACATCCCTTGCGCAAGCAGCAAGTACGAACGGTCTTGGCATCAATGGTCAATAGTCATCAGATCCGTCAGACATGAACAAGGTAGCCATAAAGTATGAAGAACAAATCAAAACTAGCTACATCGCGGAATACACGGTATGGGCTGCTTTCTGGTACATGTTTTTTGCGGTTCACGGCTTTGCGTGTTCAATCCATATTCCGCTCCTTTCAGATTTCAAGTTCCCACTTTGTCGCCGGGCCTTGGGTTCCGGAAGCCTCCCTGAGGCGTACGGGATATGCTCTGGGCTTCAGGGTGTAGGGAACGGCATGGGGTCGTAGGCTTCAAAGTTTTAGAGTAGACCTCATAAGATACATCAAAGCTCTTTTCAAATGCTGCCCTCAATGACCGAAGTTCAACACTCAACATGCCCCAAAACCAACCTAAACCCTAAACCTCCATGGTGCCTTCTCGTCAGCCTCCCGGGCTGCCTCTGTCGGCTCAGGGTTTGGAACAAAGCAGCATCTGACAAGCAAGGGTTTAGGTTAACCCTCAAACCACGCACACATTGCACAGGCTAACTGTTTTGCTTCACCTCGTGCCAAAGGGGCTACCAGTGCAAACTATACAACATGGTACTCGGAATACGCTTTATATCCTGACAGAAGGGCTCGCGGTTTCTCGAGTTCGCGCGAAATTATAGGATCCAAACTGTGAATGACCCCCATGTTCTGAAACCCTGTCTCGACTTGTTTCAAGGCCTTGTTCTGCTCAATCTCCGTGAGGCCCTCGAGAATAGCCTTCTTCATCTCCTGTCACCACTCTAAGTACAAAGGAGACTCTATGAGGCCATGAGGGCAATGAGTTGTTACGGGTGTGTGTGGGTTGAAGGTTCCTGTATCTGATATCGTTCACAGGCTTAAGCATTAAGGGCTGCTCGTCTGTGAAGTGAACGCCAGAAAGTTGGAAACCCCACAGCCTGATCGCATGTCATTCAGCGTCCAACCAGGCCAATGTATGAATCTTCCAGCATTAATAGTTTTCATTTTTTCGTCTCAAAGTGCAACAAGGGGAACCAAGCTCCAGATCAAGCTGCGCATCTTGAGTTTTTGAAGAAGAACCCTCCGAAACACAGTCAAATTCAGCACTTTGCCTAGACAGCCCTTAAAACTTTGGGCTTTCGCTTGTGCTTTCATGGGGCCATGTGACAGCACAAATTTTGGGCTGCTTGGGCTGAAATTGGAAAGCTTGCTTTCCAGCACCATTCCGCATCCGCCAGACTCGGGATTGATGCGCGAGAACGAATCATGGGGCTGGCTTTGTCAGTTCCAGGCATCTGCGACGGAGCAAAGAATAGCCCCACTACAGTTGCCTGAACCACTGGACTAGGGTCGTAATGGTATTTCCTGGTCTGACTTCGTGTTTCGAGTTTAGCGGTTTGGGCCATATCGGGACTGTAAGGGGCTATGTCGGCTAAGTATTACTAATAGTTCAGACCTCGATGCTACAAGAAGGCTACTTCTGTCCTCGCGCTTCTCTTCCCATTCCTTGACCTTGCCCTGGAACTCTCCAAGCTGCCTCAGCTTCGTCTGACGGACCCTGGTCTCTAGTGACTCTAGTGTACTTGCCAGCTAAGGCTATACGGTCAAAGGTTGAAGATGTCCACTACACAATTTGGAGGCTCAAGAAAGCGCAATCTGGCAGCCATCGATCGGAGTTCCACCCTCAGTTCTCGAAACATCATGAAGCCCAGAGTCCTTAGGATTCCTTGCCCACAAACCCTACACAGAATCGCAGTCAAACTGCTTCTCCAACTCTTCCAGCAAGCCTGGCACCTGGCGGTAAGCACGGCAGACATCCTTCCATCGGGAAGTGAAGACACCTCTTGGCCTTCTGTAGCTTTGCTTCTTTTTGGCTCAGGCTCCTCTTTCGTAAGTGCCATACTACGAGTAGTTGCCTATCATTGAAGGATCGGGAGGTTCGCAAGAGGGTTCATTACTGTACCGGAAGGCCTCCGTGCACATAGCCCCAATTGAGGCAATTATTCACCTACTATTATCCAAATCCCCTGATCCTTCAAGTATTCATGCCGATCACATGCGCCGATAGACAAGCACCCCGTTAGCGCAACAGTAGCTGTAGCCGTAGCCCAGCGCAGCTAGAACATACATACATACATACATACATACATACATACATACATACATACATATATATATATACATACATAGATCATAGCAACAATAAAAGCTAAGCATAGTGAGATCAATCGTCATAAACGGAACACTCACCGGCCATCACACTTCAATTGTTGAGCTTCCAAGACCGTCAAACATCTGGCCTGATCCGTTGAGAGCGGCGCGTCCAGCTTCAGCTGATCAAAGAGGCCTCAGAAATCAACTTGTAGTGTAGAGCAGCGTAGTATATTGATACTCTATAACCTATTGTGTTTAAGAGCAAAAGATATAGTACACTGCGCTCTTGGGCGCCCTGGTTGTTTTGGGAGCTCAGTCGTGTCGGATCTGGCATTGGGAGGTCTCGGGGTCGAATGTGGCAGCAGTCGCATAGCTTGAGTTTCAAGCGCGAAGGCATAGATTTCCAATGCCAACCCCAGCAGAAGAACAGTTGCCACTAGAGGCACTTTCAAAAATGCGCCGTTTGCACACAGCTCCGAAGACCTCGAGCTCCGAACCAGATCCCAGACCCTGTGAAGTCTCCACTTCCGCAACTCTCTGAAGGAAGTCTACACGAAAACGATCACATGTAGAGAGAGAGAGAGAGAGAGATTTTTGGCTCCCACGTGGCATCGTCCGAGGACTCTGCATAGCAGGTCACATGCATTTCAGTAAGAGAGAGAGAGAGAGAGAGAGAGAGAGAGAGAGAGAGAGAGAGTATATATATATATATATGGCCTATATAGGGCTCTAGGACCCAGGAGGCAGGGTTCCTCGGACCAATGCTCTGATACGCCGCGAAGCTTTGGAGCCCAGACCCTTTTATCCCAACCTCACCGTGGCCACACTTCACCACTCTGCCGTGGAGCGGAAGGTCTCTGCATTGTGGGTGATCTTGTTGGGCTTTGCGTCGCCACCTGGCGGGAAAAGCGATGGATGCTGGTTTCCTGAATGTGCAGCAGAAGGGTTCTCGCTTAAAGATGTGGAGGTGAGAGCTCGTGGCGTGGAACTTGAAATGCGGCAAGCTGGGGCGAAGGGCGGGTCCAGGAGGGCCCTGCTTGTTGCATCATTCTCTGCGTTTCTAACAGCAGTTCACTTCAACTGGTCAACTCCCCTACAAAGCATTCTGCCACCACGTCCTCAATTCAACACAAGACAGCAAACAAGCATAACCATCGAAAAACAAGATGCGACATGACATGGTGGCAGTACGCTGCGTAGCTAACATGACTGCCTCTTTGTCGGGGTGGGGGGAGCGGGGGCGAGCGGGCGGGAGGGGCGCGGAATGATCCCGCTATTGCGGCTTTGCCAGGCTGAAAGCTGCCCGGCCTTTGTTCTTGGCCTTGCCCTTCTTGCCAGCCTTGGTGGGGGCGAAGTAGAACTCCTCGTCTCGATCTTCCTGGCAAGTGCGCCATGTATACTGACCACGAGGTTAACCACGATAATTCACAGCAACGTCATAAAGCTCATAAGGTCCATATTTGTTGTGGCCGCAAAGGAAAAGCAGGAAGAATCTCGTTACTGAGTTTCCTACAGGATGCAACAGGGTTTGCAACTTCCATAAGCGTAAAATAGCGTAAACGGTCACTTACTCGGCACATAGAATCAAGACTGTCTCAAGGCAATGCACCAGAAGTTCTGATCCAGGCTTCCTTGATGGAGAATTTGAGGCAGCTTCCAATACAGATCTGAGTTTCTTAGGAAGTATAGCCTGACCAGGCCTTGCGCAGCAGGATCTCGGCACCGTCTGGGTTGTTGTATGCGACCTCCCCGCAAGCCAAGTCGCTACAAGCATCTGGCAAAGCCGCCTCCCCACCGGCTAGCTGCTAACTTTGACAGGGTTTTTCGGTGCACTCCTCTCGCATTCATGATTAAGGAGTTGTGCGGCAGGAGGTGCTCCTGTAGTACACGGCAATTAATCGCAGTGAAAGCGCAGAAAGGGAAACGAACAACCGGCATACAGCGATCACCACCTGCAGAACAACCGGCTGCTGCTGCTGGCATGTTAGTGCATATGGTGGATATGTGGCTACGGTGATCTGTGTGCAGCTTGCTTAACATCACAAGTTGTGACAGGGGCAATCATTGCAAGGATTGTCGTGATTATGCCCAGTGGTCATCGTGACACCCCATGGACCCTCATCAACAACAAGACTATCAGTGTAAGCTGCTTCGGCTGGCTAGGCCGCCTCCTTCTTCTCGTCCTTCTTCTCTTCCACCTTCGACTGAACGAGGCCCTTGCAGTACTTGATGGTCCTGAGCACTCCGGGATTGCTCCAAGCTGTGATCTCTTCTGGCTCTTCCTGGTCAGGGTGGAGACTTCTTGAGGGAATAAACATGATGCCCAGCGACTGCTCGATGAGCGTGATCTCGGCCACATACGGCCTCCAGACTCCAAGGCTTCAACTGAGAGGATTTCGGCTTCAAAACATGTATAGGCTAAACCGTAACCCTGGGCTCCTGAATTTCAACTCAAACGGCCTGAGACACAGCACAATCGCAAGAGTTCGCAGGCATAAATATCTTTGTGATCCTGTTGCTATGACGAGTTTGTGGTCATTGCTGCACTTGCTGCTGCTGCCTTTCCTAGTCCCGGCTAGTGTTGCTAAGTGGCAGTCGTGCTATACCAGTCGGTTCAGGTCAATCCGCGGCATTTTCTTGTCGGGATAAGACGTGAGTATGAGTTTTCTTGTTCGGTACTACTGCTTGTTCCTAGTAGCAGCTAGTACTGCTAGCAAGTATAAAGCCTCACCTCCGTGTAGTCATACTCTACAAGCTTTCAAGGTCCGAGCGACTGCTCATCCAGCTTCTCCGCCTCGCGCTGCTTCCGGCGCAGGTCGTACTCCTCGAGCCGAGGAGAAAGCAGGGGCTGAAGAACGAAGACTTTTCTTTCTCAGAGCCCGAAGCCCTCCCCGAACTATTGCTCCCGCAGACCAAACTTCACACCACGACTTCAATGAGAGGCTGGGAAAAATCTCGGAAAGCTTGAGCAGCAGCTCCTTCTGCTTCTCGGCTTTCTCAGCAGCATAACGCTCCTCCCAGATCGTAGGGCTTGATCGGGATTCGGATGCTATGTTTATTCTGGCTTTACCCTTAATTACCGCCTTACCCATATCAGCATGTGTATGTATCTATCTATCTATCTATCTAGCTAGCTAGCTAGCTAGCTAGCTAGCTATATACATATATATATATATGGTAACCCCCCCCCCCGGACCAACCTCCGCCATGAAACGGATCATGTCTGTGCTTGTGTTGCTGCGAATTGATATCGAAAACCCTGTAAATACCGAGAGATTCTGTCTTGGATCGTAGGGTCTTAAGCTTATACGAGTCGTAATACAGTCTCAAAAAGCATG